GTCTGTCTAGTACACTGGACGCGACAAAGCGACCGTTGAAAATCATTTGAAATTTGTGTCAATACGTCATGAAGAGAACGCAGCAGCAGTTTTCTGTCTCTGATTATAATGAGTTCTATAGTATTTTGTCGCGCCGCGCCACTCGCGTCCGGTGTAGACACGGTGTGACATTAGTTTTGCTTTGTTTCACAGAGGAGCTATCAAAATAGGGGCGAGACCCTTTTGGGGTGGGGGTGTGTTTGTTTTGGTGATTTCAAATGTCAACATTGGCTACCAGAAATCGCTTACCCCACCTTGAATGAGAAGATACAGAATGAGAGTCCAAACAGCTGATAAAAACATCACAATAATCCACAGGTAATCCACACCACTCCAGTCCGTCAAAAAAGATGTCACCTGTGAAGCGATAAGCTGCGTGTTCATAAGAGACAAATTCACCATGATCTTTTAACTTCTGGCTAAAATATGAGTGCTCTTATATCCATAATATTGGTTTCTCCAGTGAAAAAGTCATGCCATTTCAACTAATATACACAGATCAGAAATGATTTACAAGCAAAAACAGTCCAAAACTGTTCTAAACAAACGTGTTATTTGATGTGAGAGGACAACAGGGTATGGACTTTTTCACTGGAGGAAGTGTTATTATGGATTATGGACTGGTATTTTAGCCAGAAGTCACGGTTTAAAGTTAAAACCTTAATGATGGATTTGTTTCTTATAAATATGCAGCTTTAACTTCACAAGATGTTAACTGATGGACTGGAGTGGTATGGATTACTTGTGGATTATTTTGTTGTTTTTATCAGCTGTTTGGACTCTCATTCTGACGGCACCCATTCACTACAGAGGACCCATTGGTGAGCAAGTGATGTAATGCTACATTTCTCCAAATCTGTTCTGATGAAGAAACAAACTCCTCTACATCTTGATTGGCCTGAAAGTGAGTAAATATTTAGCAAATGTTAATTTTTGGATGAACTATTCCTTTAAACACAAATAATTAAATTCTTCTTCTTGAGCACCAAACTTCACATCTTACATATCACTGTACTGCCTTTGGCTAATAAAATACTGTACTTTTAAAAAATATGTTTTTAATATCGTAGAGAGAGAGGGGAATTAGTATTATTCATTAATTCACTATTTGAAGTAAGCCAAATCTGGCATTCTCCCTTTGTGGGCATTAGAACATGTCTTCATTTGGAAAAAGAATGATACATAAACAAAGAAAATAATGTTGTGTGTGTGTGTGTGTGTGTGTGTGTGTGTGTTCTAAACATGCTAAATGTTTTTGTAGGTTTAGGGCTAATTATAATACACTTACACAAAAACATCAGAAGCCATTTATATAGCTGAGTAAACATGTTTGTGTGCGATCTGATTCTTTGCCGAGATATATGATATCTGCATTAGTTCTGTGACCCAGGTTAGGTTGCCATAACAACCACTGCGATGACATCACCACAAAATGCATTCTGTGCTTTTGTGAATGTTCCGTTTTAGAACAAAGTAATGTCAATCTGAATCGTGAGGAGTTAAGGCAAAGTTTAGTTCTAAACACACCAAAATCAGCTAATCAGTGTCTTCAGGATTATTTGAACATTACAGTCGAGTGTGATAGAGCAGGGCTGGAAATAAACTCCTCAGGACAGTGACCCTCCAGAAACAAGATCTGAATTAGAGGCTGATAAGAATGACAAACCCAGACACATTACGGTGAAAAAGGGTTAATCACAAATGACTTCCTGTAAGTGGATACTCCTCAAATGATTGTGGAGATGAAGCGCTCAGGCTAATGGTGCCTGTAAGCATCTATTAAACCAAGTGCATGCTTTGTGCTCTGTTTGTGGGAGTTTGAGCTGTAGAGAGAAGCGTTTATAGATTTAAACAGGTTACTGGCCTATAGCATTCCACTGTGACTGCAGTACCGTAAACACACACACACACACACACACACACACACACACACACACTTTCGATCTCTCTCATACCTGGTTGCGTATTTAAATGTCATTGACTTACTTAAAATTTAAATTGACATTGACTATATTAAGTATACTATTTCTACTTACTACAGACTAATCATAACCCAAAAGATACCTGTTTTGCATTTCTAGAAGAAAAAAAAAGGGTGGGGGGGCATTATTTATTTTATTAATGGACACTTCCCTAGTGCATAGTTTGTTAGATATTGCTAAACTTAGATTTTTTTGAGCATTTTTTAAAATATCAAATGCTAATATTTAAATGATTAATTATAATTACTATACACTAATCCTAACCCTCTTTTGAATTTTTAGATAAAAAAAACATTGATTTTATTAATGAGCACATTCCTACTGCAGATTTTGTCAGATGTTGCTAAAGTTTGGGCATTTTTTAAATATCAAATGCTAATGTTTACATGATTATTAATCTAATTATAATTAGTAAAGACTAATCCTAACCCAAAAGCTATCTCTTTTGCATTTAATAAATAAATAAATGCCTACAAAGAACAAAAGCACATATTCGTGTCATGATAAGAACCAAAAATAAGGATCACCGCTTTCTTTACTACAGTAAAGCAAAGTTCACATGTAATTTGGTCATTTTGCAGAAAAGGCTTTATAGTCTGGTTTTAGCATGAGGCCTGTGTGATGGACTGAGGACAGAGCAAAAATCAATGTGATCACTCAGTGGAGTAAATGAAGGGAAACAACACTATAGGTGACGTGATGTGTTTGATCCACTGCAGTGCTTCTTCCTCAAGTAAGTCACGAGCACATAAAGGGAAAAGGTCAACCAAGGTAAAGTACTGACTGCTTAAAAGAATTAGTAACATGGATAATATATAACAAGGTGGCCCTTGTAACAAATAGGGTTTGAAAATGACTTGGAAGTTTTCAAGTTAAAGTCTCATTTTGCTAATTTTCAACAAAGTGGAATCATGTGAAAAAAGTAAGCTCGAAAGGTCAACATAAATGTAATATGTGTAGTTTTATTTTATATTCATTTTATTTTATTTTATTTTATTTTATATTTTATCTATCTGCCAAGCTGTAGGGTGTCACATTATAATTTGACCCGCAGCTAAGGCACAAGAATGTCAGTTGCTGTCTGTGCAACCGGAACATGCAGTGATTATTGTTTGCTTGAATTTGGTAACTGAATACTGTTTAATCAACACTGGAACACCTTCATTATTCTGAACCGATGTATATATACCATGCTGAAATGATCTATGGGACATAAACGGTGATATGTGATCAACCTGACCTGTGACCTGACCTTTATTCACTAGCAGGGAAGAATAATGTGACACTGAAGACTAGAGTAATGGCTGCTGAAAATTCAGCTTTGCATCACGGGAATAAATTACATTTTAATATATATTAAAATATAAAAGAGTTATTTTATATTGTAATATTATTTCACTATTTTTCTGTATTTTTGATCAAATAAATGCAGCATTGGTAAGCATAAGAGACTCAATAACATATTTATTGACATTACATGTGTCTTCAAATGCATAAAAACACATTAAAGAGACTGTGCATTTTTAAATCTAGCCACTACAGCAAGGCAAACCAATGATAATCACATGCAAAGTGTGTTTTCCCTTTAGTTTATGAATTTAAATATATATATATATATATATATATCTGTATTCAAAGCCTCATCTGCCAAAAGGACAGTAACTGAGGTTGCTTAGCAACCTTTGGCCTTCATGAGAGAAACTGTAGTTACCATTAAGTGATCACAGGTACACACACACACACACACACACACACACAAGCGAATTCAAACGGCGGGTGATATTCCTTAGATGAATTAAGAGTTTGTTAACCTTCATTTTATCAGTAAAAGATTAATGAGGACAGAGGAAGCTTGTTCCGTAGGTAGAGGAAGCTGATAAGGGAGTTTTATGGCAAACACACAGTGCCGAATCAGCGACTTCCATTGTTTTAACGGAGGCGGCAAGGGGAGATGGGTGTGAGAGATATATCATACACTCACTAATACACATGCAAAGACCTTCCCTGGTGTGCAGAAGCATTTTTATATCATAAAGCTGCCCGTTTCCCTATATAGTGTAAATTCAGACATCAGTAAAGTGTGTTCAGGTAGCTGACGAGGTTCACACACGCACGGAGAATGACAAGTCAATTACTCTCATATCTGCTGACCCAGAATCTCATAAATGACATTTTATTAAAAGCACTTAACACATCCATCTGTTCACGGGGCGATAATATATATTGGGCTATGGATTTTTTATGATAACATCAAATGTCAGTATATTAAATGAGTTTCATTAGAAGGCATGGACAATAGTAAAGACATATGCTGTGCTGTGTTTTCAGTAAAACTTAGTACTGAAAAGTATAATACTAATCAAAGGTTGTGCTTGATTAAGTAATTAAAAAACTAAATACTAAAATAATACATGTAGTTAAAGCCTGATTATAAGGCAATCAAGAAAATCAGAAAGATTAACCTCTCTAAACTGCGACAAAAAAAAATCAACATGAGAGATTGAGGTGTCACCATGCAGTAAAATAACTTGAAAGTAAGTAAGGTGATATAACTTCCTGTTGATAAAATGAAATTAGCATCTGCAGACTAGAGAGTGTGTTTTTTAGAGGTTGCTAATTTTGTTCTCATTGCAGTACTGCCACCTAAAGGTCAACACTGTTAATACCGAATCTGTATTTTATTTAATTCTGGTGTCAATATGAAAGGGTGTGTATGTATTTTTGTGACTTGTTTTTGACAGACGTATCAAAAAGGGGAGTTCATGCCGAGTTTGGTGTCAAATTGAAGCTTCTGTCGTTTCTGGTATCTCACCCTCATCCTGTAGCAAACAATCACAAACCCACAGATATTTAACAGGTATGACACAATAAAACTTTAATAATGGCATTCATTTATATTCATTTTAAATAATAACTTTTTGTTTTTTAATAATTAAATTACTTAAAAGTTGTCTTAAATGTAAAATATTTTAATAAATATCTACAACAAACATTAATGTTAAATTTTTAATATAATTATATATTTTACATATGTTATTTCAATGAAAACATACATGATACATAAGAGCAATGGTAAGATTTGAATTAAAGTGACAGTGAAAGTGACCTGACATGTGGCCAAGTATGGTGACCCATACTCGGAATTAGTGCTCTGCATTTATCCCATCCAAAGTGCACACACACAGCAGTGAACACACACACACACCGTGAACACACACCCGGAGCAGTGGGCAGCCATTTTTTTGCTGCGGCGCCCGGGGAGCAGTTGGGGGTTCGGTGCCTTGCTCAAGGGCACCTCAGTTGTGGTATTGAAGGTGGGAAAGAGCGCTGTACATTCACTCCCTCCCCCTACAATCCCTGCCGGTACGAGACTCGAACCCGCAACGTTTTAGGTTACGAGTACGACTCTCTAACCATTAGGCCACGACTTCCCATTAAAAGTGGTTTTATTAATTTTACTTTTATTCAGTAAAGACATTAAATTGATCAAAAGTCACAGACTAATGTTAAAATAATTGTAATGTTACAAAAGATTTTATTTAAAATAAATGCTGTTATTTTTAACTTCATATTCATCAAAGAAACCTACAAAAAATGTATCATGGTTTCCACAAAAATATTAAGCAGCACAACTGTTTTCAGCATTGATAATAATCAGAAATGTTTCTTGAGCAGCAAATCAGCATATTAGAATGATTTCTGAAGGATCATGTGACACTGAACACTGAGTAATGATGCTGAAAATTCAGCTTTGATCACAGGAATAAATTACATTTATTCAAATAGAAAACAGTTATTTTAAATTGTAATAACATTCACAATATTACTGTTCTACTGTATGTTTGGATCAAATAAATGCAGCCTTGGTGAGCATAAGAGACTTCTTTAAAGACAAACAAACAAACCAACCTCTTACCTTTTGAATGGTAGTATAGATTGTTATTTGGATATACGGTATATTAACTACTGATCTAGACAGCATTACATACCGTTTGCTAATGACTTATTAGAAAGTGTAACCATTATATTATTGTGGTTGTATTACCTGATCTCATGCAGTTTGATGCCCTCGTTGATAAAGACCAGCGGGATCAGCCAGAGGATTCCTAACACCCAGGATGCCATGGGAATATCCGAGATACAGAACATGTGGTCAGGGTCATGCCACAAGAAGCGGGAAACCATTGCCAAAGAAGCATTAAGAACTGGCCTGTGAGGGAAACAGAGACAGCCTGGTATTTAAATGACCATTCCATAACTTCCATAAAAATTATCATGCTTCTGAAGTTATTAATTAGACTTTAAAGGGATAGTTTGGAAAAAAACTATGGAAGTCAGTGGCTACTGTCAGATGTTTGGTTACACACATTCTTCAAAATATCTTATTTTGTGTTCAAAAGAAGAAAGAAATGCATACAAGTTTGGTACAACATGAGGGTGAGTAAATGATGACAATTTTTTTTAATGTACAGAACACAAAATGTATCAATATGTCATGATAAAAAGCTACTTACACAATGCAGATGACAGCACACCAGCAATGGTTGCTCAGCGGGCTCTGTTTCCACATGGGAGCTGAGCGATGCACATGACTGATAGATGTACACACTTAACACACACACAGACACAGGGAACACCAGGTTCACACTCGGACACATCTTCACTTTCAGTATGCTGAATGATTTAGCTTTAAAATATGATGCAAGCTTGATGTCGTTGAAGGAACTGTTCAACCAAGAATAAAAATACTGGAAAAAAATGAAAATAGCACCACAAAGGAATTGTCACTGACTGGCATTGAGCAGCACAAGAAAGGCGATGACTTTCTGCGCCAGACTTAGACCATCTGAGTGCCTGCCGTACCAGTCAGGAGACCACACTGTTGAATTCCTGCAGACAAATACGCAAAACAGATTCACGTTTACTATTATACTGTATATTATTTCCATATCTCAGCAACACAACAAGGGTGAATTTGCACAAAAAACATCTATGGTTCATTTATATGCTATACAATTTTTTTAAAACAGTATGTGAAACAGTATGAATTGTGTAGTATGATACATTGTTGATACATGACTTCATGATATCCAAAAAACAATTGTTTTTAATAATTGTCATTATATCACTTGCTCACCAGTGGATCTTCTGCAGTGAATGGGTGCCGTCAGAGTGAGTCCAAACAGCTGATAAAAACATCTCAATAATCCACAAGTAATCCACACCACTCTAGTCCATTAATTAACATCTTGTGAAGTGAAAAGCTGTGTTTTTGTAAGAAACAAATTCATCAAGACTTTTTAATTTTAAAGTGACCAGTCCATAATCTATAACAATGCTTCTGCTAGTGAAAAAGTCCATCCCCTGTTATCTTTTCACATCGAAATCCACTGACATATTTGAAAACGGCACTTTATCAGTGCATATTTCTGACGTGATTCAGATGATACAAGATTTTCACTGGAGAAAGCAACATTATGGAAAGAGGACTCAATGTTTTTAAATGTCTTAATGCTGGATTTATTTATTACAAACACACAGCTTTTCACTTCACAAGACATTAATTGATGGACTGGAGTCATGTGGATTACTTGTGAATTATTGTGATGTTTTTATCAGCTGTTTGGACTCTCATTCTGACGGCACCCATTCACTGCAGAGAATCCATTGGTGAGCAAGTGATGTAATGCTACATTTCTCTAAATCTGTTCTGATGGAGAAACAAAATAGATGGCCATGGAGTAAATTTTTATAATATGTTCATTTTTGGGTGAATTATTCCTTCAACTTTTGGCAGACCGAGTGACAAATTTTTTTTTAATAAAGAATACAAATCACAATTCATTTGTCACACAGAAAATAGAATATCTGAAGTAAAAAGAGTAGAACTATGTTAGAATGCTATTAGTCTAAACGCATCACATACACTTTCACATACATGAGCAGTGATGTTGGGTGACACAGATCTTCATCTTGATGGTTAATATCAAGACAGAAGCTGTGCAGCATGAGGCCAAAGCATGTGAGAAAGGTGCACACGGTGAGACCAAACTTCACCAGGAAACACAGCACAAACAACCGCAATGTCTGCAGAGAAATACACAAAACTACTGCACATCTCTTTAGCTGATCAATTATACAATGAGTGTTATGTGTATCAAAACAACTTAGAATTAACTCAATAAGCAGATGCTCTTTTGTGAATATTATCCAGGCCAATGAAAGATGAACTGAAATATTCAGAAAGTACATTACAGACCCCTTTTTAAAAGCTTTTCCTGTTTCTTTACCTTTTTTGGTATGAATCTGAGATTTTTCCCAGTAGGAACTTTCATGATGGAATTGTCAGATGGCTTTCCCAGAAGGGACACACTGGAAAGAGAAAGGAATTTAGTTAAAAGAGAGTAAATAATAATAAAATGATGCCTTCAAAAACATACACAAAACTAAACTAGGACAGCTATAATACACGTTTATTTGATCAAACATTCAAGATCAGGGCAATTTCAATTTTAAGAACACATATATTGACTGAATGTTTAGGAGCCCTCTCAGTTTTTATTATTGATTTTTTTGGGTCATTTTGTGCATGTATTTGGATGCATGTTATTGTTAATTATATTCTATTTTACCTCAGTAAGGGAAAATAGAAACAGGACAGAAAGAGGACATCACTTGTGCCCAGAGGAGGAGGAAGTTGACACACACATGCCAGAATCTGTGGAAATAAACAAACACACACCAGCTTACTCAGCGGCACCTGTCAAACTCTGAGCTTTTGGTGTAAATCATGAGTGTGTTACTCATTACTTCTGACAGAAATAGCAACGTCAAAGTAACTAAGTGCATGTGGGACATATTAAAGAGACCAGTGATATAAAGTCCTAAATGTGCCCTAAAAATGAACAATTAAATAAAATAAAAAAAATCTACTTTTAAACGATTTACTCAAAAATGTATACAAATATACATTTATTTGCAAACTGAGAAATAAACTAAATGAATAGATAAATAAATTGTTCAATGAATGTTTAATTAATTACATCTAATTAATTTAAATATATTAATAATTTTAAATACAGACACGTGTTTATGTAGTTAGACTTAATTGATATCTATCTATCTATCTATCTATCTATCCATCCATCCATCCATCCATCCATCCATCCATCCATCCATCCATCTCTCTCTCTCTCTCTCTATATATATATATATATTCAAGGTATATATTGATTGTAATATTACTGTATATTATTTGTATTGGCCTTAACTGGCCTTTTTTTGGATATAAGAAATTATATTTCAATGTAATAATAAAAGTATATTAATTAATTAATGTATTTTAGTTTTGTTAATTATTATTATTATTTATTTCTATTATGCATATGCTTTATTTAGGTGACACTCCTAGTCCTACGGTGGCCGAGAAGTGCAGAGCAAATCACAATTCTGAAAACAAAATAACAAATTACAAAAGCATCTGTCAATCAACGTATACAGGAAGAACCAGCCGAAGAACAGCAGAGTCGTGGTAGAAAGTTCGGAGATGGTATTAAAGAAGCTCAGTTTAAATGTATTGTATGAATTGCCCTTACTATGGAATAAAAAATACGGGGTGTCTATTTACATTTAGTTAAAAGTGTCTATAAATCATCAGCTCCAGTGGTGCAGATGGATAAGTGCATGCCCTTGTCTTTTTGACGCGATCGACCCGGGTTCGATCCCGCCTTTTGCCGAAATTTTTTTTCTCCCTCCCTTTCCAAATCTCGTATTAGCAATGGATTCTATTTACACTAAGTGCAAATACCTATTTACACTATTTTAAAATAGCAGGATTTCTACTATCAAGTATACTACTTGTTGCAAATAGTGGCAATTATCTGCACTTCAGTATTGTAGTACATTATAAAACAGTATGCAATAATAACGTATTGAGTGTAAATTATAATTTTAATTATTAAATGGATTATTAAATGATTTACGATGTGATACGAGATTTGAAAAGGGAGGGAAAAAAAGTTAGGCAAAAGGCAGGATCGAACCCGGGTCGATCGCGTCAAAAAGCCAACGACGAGCACTTATCCATCTGCACCACTGGAGCTGATGTTTTACAACCACTTTTAACTAAATGTAAACATACACTCCGTATTTTTTATTCCAGAGTAAGGGCAATTCATACGTTGTGTTTTCTGACTTGTTAATTTGGTTTCGGATTTGTTGTTGTGCTTTCTGAATTGTTATTTTGTTTTTTAGACTTGCATTTGCGTTTGTAATTTGTTATTTTGTTTTCAGAATTGTGATTTGCTCTGCACTTCTCGGCCACCGTATAGTCCTCTCTTATACCTGAATGAGGACAAGGGACAGCTGACACTGGAGCAAAAACAGAAAACACTTTCTGATGCCTGCCGTGGTGTGACGTGCCTGAAGAAAACAACATGATTGTATTTATAAAAATTACTAATATATTATACATCCATTAGTGTACATGTGTGTTAAAGCGTGTCCACATTCACCTGTTTGATGAGCCTGATGACGGTGTTGTTGTCTTGTTGGTTAAACTGTACTGTGCAAGCCAACCCACAGATGGCGCTAGAGAGCTGAATTACACTTAAAGAGTCTGATGTGTTCAAAGCTGCATCAGAATTGGACCAACAACGTGTGGGAACCAGAGGATCTAAAGCAATGCTGTCAATTAATAAGTCAGAAACAATGGATAATGTAAAGTATATATAATATAGTATAATATAATATAATATAAAAATGCATCAAATAAATGCATAAAGGTAAATGACTCCACTTAGAAATCTTGGCTATATAGGAAAACCAGGGTTACTTTCATTGTGACAATTTAACTCATATAGTACAACAACATGCTAACAGGCTGCTAACACGTCACAAAAGGTCAACATGTGTTTGGTGAAATGTATTATGCTTTTGCGGACAATATAGGTGGCAATTTTTATGCCACAATGTTTCATGCTGGCATTACAATCAGTTGGGATTAGGGTGTTGTTAAAATATTAAAATAAGTCACGTCATGTCATGAGTAAATCCGTTCTTGGCAGGTTATTGAGACAAATGGGAAGAGGTGAGTTAAAGGCTAGACAGATCACCTGATATCACTTTGTAAGAAAATGTCATTGTTGTCGATGTTTTGACTGCTCCCGAGGCAGCACACGACCTCTCCATACTCCTGCATGATACACACCATCTCACATTCAGCTACACACACACACACACACACACACACACACACACACAAGCACAGTTTAGAATGGTGGCTTTGTTGATGGTGATATAAATAAGTCTGAGCAGTGTTGCCAGAACTAGAAAAAAAAGCAACCAGCTCTGACAAAGCAGGCCTAAAACTAGTGACTGCAGTTTTTTGTGCTTTCTCAGGGAGGTGTTTATGACTCAGAAATGAATTCATTTCATTCATCTGATGAAGAGATATTTTTAAGCAATATATGTTTTAATTATATACAACATAATGAAAAGATGCATCAGAACAAGTGGGATGAGAACAATTAAAAGGTAAAAAAAAAATAATGCACACTAAGTTTGGGGTCAGTAAGATTTTTTTTGTATGTTTTTTTTTATGTCCACCAAGACTGCATTTATTTGATCAAAAATACAGTAAAATCAGTAATACTGTTAATTATTATTACAATTTAAAATAACTGTTTTCGATTTCAATATATTTTAAAATATATTTTTTACGTAGCTAAATTTTTTAGCTAAACATTTCTTGTTGTTGAAAAAAACTGCTGCTTAATACTTTCATGGAAACAGTCATATCTTTTTTGGCGAATAGAAAGTTCAAAAGAGCAGCATTTATTTGAAATAAAAAATGTAACTTTATAAATGTCTTTATTATCAATTTTGATCAGTTTACTGCATCCTTGCGGAATAAAAGTATTTCTTTCTTTCATCTTTCAGTTCTTTCATTTAAAAAAAAAAAGGAACTGTTTAGTCATTTTAACTGTTTTACTGTCAATTTTGATCAATCAGTTTTTCATAAATGACTGCTCAATGCATTTTTATTGAAAGATTAATACAATTTATTCATTACATTTGTCAACAAAATTTGAGTCATAAGAGCTTATAACTTTATTTTTCATTTATTTAGACAAATACCAACAAATAAAATAAAATAAAATAAATAAATGTTGCAACACTAATTTTGTGTGTCTGTGTGCGTGTGTATATTTGTGCGTGTCTTACTCTGTGATGTGCAGTCTGTAAATAAAGGGACCAGCAACGGAACATTATCAATGTCCTCCAGATGTGGCCTCACATTCTCTATTCCTTTTGGAAGTTTGGCCTGGAAAAACAAGAATCGGGTTATCTCTATTTTGGGATCTAAATCCTACGTCCTGGTCCCAACAAGGAAAACAGCTTCTTAGAAGGTCTAAATAATGCCTTTATAGAAATCTGAAGTGTTAATATAGTGTAAATGAGTGGCACCCTGTTTAGGTCCTTGATGAGACATGCTCCATCATGCTCCATTGCTCTTGACTCTGCCCTCTCTCTGACACTGTCTCTCAGCAGAATTTCCTCCTCTGAAATCAATAAATGCAAATTTAAAAGGATAAAAAGATCAGAACTGGTCATAACTGGCATTAATCTCTGCAATGCATAACTCTGTCTCTCACCTTCCTTGGTCACCGGCTCCTCCACGTTATCTGGGTCGAGAGGGAAGCTCTCTGATTGGAGGGAGATGTGACAGTTCCATCCCGTCTCCAGTCCCATTTTCTCAGCAAACACCTACTCATGGAGTGATTCAACTTGTAAATAACATGAATAAAACATTTGTACAGTCAATCATCTAACATTGTTTGAATAATGAAAATGTTAAACAGCAGCTGCGATGTAAATGACATGATTTAGGACATGTTCCCACATCAACATCCTGTGTTGGTCCTGCAAAAACATTCCTATCCAACAATCATAACATGATCTAAAGTCAACAAAGACCCCATTAACTTTTTTATACATGCTCCTGGCATTACAGTGCATGTTTTGTCAGTGCACAACAGTATGTCATATATTTATATACTACCGTTCAAAAGTTTAGAAACAAATACTTTTTTATTCAAGAAGGATTCAATAAACTGATCGAAAGTGACAACAAAAACATTTATAACATTACAAGATTTCTATTTCAAATAAATTCATTTTTTTTTGGAACTTTCTATTCATCAAAAATACTGAAAAAAGTTTTTATCATGGTTTCCACAAATATATATGTATAATAATGGATTTAAACATTGATAATAATGTTAAAAAAAATTGTTTTATAATAAACATTGAATTTTTTTTTTTGTTTTTTTTAGCAGAAAATCAGCATATTAGAATCATTTCTGTAGGATCATCTCATGGATGGCGAGGATTACATAGGATTGGTTCAATGCAAAATGAATGCTTTTCATTAATTACTCAATGTAAGTGTTCAAAAGAAGCGCTTGCAGTACATTTGGGTCTGTTCTTCACACATCATTTGATGTGGAATATAGTGCATGAATCATATCAGCTGACACTATTTGTACTTTTTTTCTTAGCACTTTCTCTCCTTTTGTTGAAAAAAAACGACCATGAGTAAATAACGACCCAATTTTCATTTTCGACTGAACTATTCCTTTTTATTAACATCTGTCTGAATTCCCATTGTAACCTACAACAGTTAAAATGTTCATTCTAGCTATCAACTCTATAACCACATTCTTAAACATTACCTTTAAAATGTTTGGGATCAGTATGTTTTTTTAAAAGAAATTAATATTTTTATTTAACAATGATGCATTAAATTGATTACATCGTTTTCTTTATTCTTGAATACTTTTTTTTGGAACTTTCTATTCATCAAAAATACTGAAAAAAGTTTTTATCATGGTTTCCACAAATATATATGTATAATAATGGATTTAAACATTGATAATAATGTTAAAAAAAATTTTTTTATAATAAACATTGAATTTTTTTTTGTGTTTTTTTTAGCAGAAAATCAGCATATTAGAATAATTTCTGTAGGATCATATGACACTGAAGACTGGAGTAATGATGCTGAAAATTCAGCTTTGCCATCAGAAGAATACATAATATTAAATATATTTAAATAATAATAATTCACAATATTACTGTTTTTACAGTATTTTATGATCAAAATAAATCTTACCTACAAAAAAAATCATACTGACACCAAAAGTCTGAACAGTAGTGTATGACATATTACATGATTTTAATTTATTATATTGTATCCAATTATAGAAACTTGCTTCAGCTCTGAAATTACTTTCCTTTTCATTTGATGTCACAAAGGCTTTTCGGGCTATTTGTTAACATTAGACAGGCTAAAAAATACCTCTATTACTGCTATTACTGTACATTTGTGTGTAGGAGTGTTTATGTCTGCTGACCTTACTCCGAACTTCCTCTTCACTGGAAAAATAGACAAAACGAATGCAAGCACTGTCCAGCCCTGAGATAAGTCTGACCACATCAGGACGGGCTTGGTACTGTGAGGACACCAGACCCAGAAAGATCTGCTGCCTGAGGGGTGTGATAGAGACGTCATCTGCGCGCACACACACACACACACACACACACACACACACAGACATTA